TTTTGGTTTGATACGTTTCACTGCTTGTCCAAGCTGCTTCTTCAGTCTAGAAAGTTGGTTGGGGGGACCCCATAAACCTCCAAATTTGGACAGAGAAGATAGGTGGTTTGAGAGAGGAGTGAAGGAATCCATTTATGCCAAAGTGGAAAATCCTTCCCTCAGTAGAGGTGGAGGCTTCAGGCACTTATCCTATTGTCCCTTCAATGAGTCCATCATATTAGTGAGAAATGCAGCCACCCTGGAAGACATCAAATCAAAAGAAAAGAAGTCCAGTTGCCGTGACTCAACCTCCAAATCAACAAGGTTGCTCTTGTGTTCTTCAAATCAATCATTTGGCCATATCCCAGAATTCCAGATTGAGGGTCTGTTGTCTAATATTTTTGTACAATTCATGCCAGAAGAGAGAAAAACTTATTTTCTTCCAATCTATAACTTGTCGTTGTTGCTTTCCATTTTCCAGATCCTCACAGCAGAGTGTGCCTTACCTCAGATGATCAAGATGATCCCCTTAGCTCTTACATTAATGCTAATTACATCAGGGTAAGACTGGCTGTTCCATAGAGTTTTCTGCATAAGTGGTTTTGTTGGGCCTCAATTATTTTTGAATAGTTGCAGAATTCCACAGACTACCATTTCAGCCCTTCCAACATACTGACAGAGACACATGTTTAAATTTCAGAGTTGTAAAATATACATGCGGTGATTTAAAGTGTGACTTGCGAGCTTGCTAGTGAATGACAGTCATCTTTACTGCCTCTACCATAACCTTTAGAATCCAGCAAGGCCCCAGAATGGGATGCCAGATGAAGCTCTGCCAAATGAATGTTGGCTTAACTATACATCTTGCACAGCATAAATTGCTCTGATTGCCATAGCAACCATTGCTTCTTGTATAAATTGAAGTTATGCCTCTTGTGCTTAGGTTATTCGTATCACTGCATGTGAAGAATGAGTGTGAGCATATTTCTAATTTACTAAATAGCCTCTGAGTGACAACTGGAGGACTGAGGTATACGTATGTTTCAGCACTCATGAACCTTGTTTGTTTTTTTGCTAGGGCTATAGAGGAGAAGAAAAGGTGTACATTGCTACTCAGGGACCCATAGTTAATACTGTCAGTGATTTCTGGAGAATGGTATGGCAGGAGCATTCTCCAATCATTGTCATGATTACCAATATAGAAGAGATGAATGAGGTAATGCTGAATCTCTATTTTCTACTTTCTATCCTGTTTTGTGCCTTCAGTGTATTCCTGAATAAAACATTATTCCATTCATAAAACTAGTTTGCTTTGTAAGTAACATCAGTAGTCAAGGTAAGGTTGGAATATAGTATAAAGGTTTGATGAACAAAAAGTTAACACATACCTGAACCTCTCCCAAAGTACATTTCCTATTCTTGTTTTGGGATCAAAGCCTCTCTTCTGAAAATGTTTCTGCTGCACATGAATATTGTATTTTCTCAGCATTTAATTTTGTCATTAGGAAAATGTGATTCTTGTCCTGCTAGTGCTTCAGCTGCAAGGATGAATACTGATCTATGATGACAGTAGAGCTACATCAGCAGTTAGTTTTTCTAGAAAGAAACATTGGCAAGTACATGAGCAGTGATGGCTGAGTGCCATGTTAAGCCCCTACCAGTGGAATACTCTGCCAGCAAATTTGGTGGCCCTTGACTCCACTTGCTGAACACTGTTTGGTTCTAGGTTAGCAACTTAACATATACATTGGACGCTCTCCTTACTGACCTTTCCAACTGAGCCATAAGAATCTTGAGCATCTGACTCTTAAGCTGGCACAAGAGGATTGCTTTGAGAAAACTAAAGTTTAGTTGGCAAATATGTGACCAATCATCTAGAAAAGTAGCGTAAATCAGCTCTTACCAGTCTAGAAAGCTTTTGGTCAACTGCCATGTTTTCATTTTATTCATTGTAATTTATAGTTGCCACACTACAGAGTTATTAGAAAGGAAATGGAAATATTACACATTTGGAGATCCCTGCACACACTTGGGCTTTATGTGAGAGACGTGGCTTAATGAAGTCATTCATTATTGTTCAAAACTCTGGGACATTTCAGAATTTTTCTATTAAAAAAACATGATTAAATTATGTTGTGACTCAAATATAAATGTAGACTACAGGAAGAATATTTGTGTTCGCACTATATGCATTAATTCTAATAATGCAAGGATTAAGGCTTCAGTACTGTAGCACTCTTATAAAATGTAATGTGAACTGACAGACAGCCCACGGAAATGTGTGGGTGTTCTTACTTCATTTCAGCTGCTCTAAGACTGAGCTATAGATAGCTGCTAGCACATCTGATGGTGTGTGTGTTCCCCCCCCCCAACACACACACCCAATGGAAAGTTGGAAAGGAAGACTCAAGATTTTGTTTGTTCATCAATAGGATAATTCTTCAACACAGAACAGAATGGGGCCAAATTGGTATGGCAGGGGAAGCAAAGACAACATAGGTTTTGTTTAAAATGGGCCAGACTCACCCAGGGGCTGTGCAGGAAAAAAAAATCCCCTAATCCACTCCTAGGGGAGATGCAGTGGAGCAGTCGCTTGGGTGGTTGCTGAATGTTCCATTCTGAGACCTTTCCCTCCTGGTCACATGGCCCAGGGCAGCATATAAGCAGCCCATCCTGTGCATCTTGGTGCATATATAGTGTACACACAAACACTGATGCAACATGAGGAAAGAACAGAAACAGACATACACATGGATACAGCACAAATGGACCTGATCAGACCTCACAGGCACAGACGTTTACATACACACCTAGGAGATGAGTGTGCACACCCCCTGATTAGTCCATGAACAGAAAGTGCACACACATTATGCATATACAAAGAGATGAAACATGTTCCTTCATTACACAGGAGAAAATACAGATACTTCCTATAGCTACCACTGGTTAAGGGGTAGAAAAAAATTCTACAAACCATGCTCTGCATGCTTTCCCTACTTTGGTAAAAATTTTGTTTGCCAGTGGACAAATGCCATTGTAGAATGGGTAGGCTCTGACAGATGGGAGGACAAAACTGAAAATTCAGCAGAAGAAATAGTTGGCATTATATGACAATAGCATTTCTCATGTGCCTGTCACATTCTGCACCAGCTGCAGTTTTCAGGTCATCTTCAAAGGCAGCCCCATGTAGGGCATATTACAGTTCTCAAGATGAATGGTAATGAGGGCATTAATAACTATTTCCAGAGCTATATGGCCCATGTAGGGCAAAACAGGTATATCTGACCACAGCTTTCACTTGCCAGCAGCAGCAGTGAATACAGACCTGTTTCTTCACAGGGAACACAATCCCACCCAGAGCAATCACCAGCCCATCAAGGAGACACAACGTTTCAGGACAATCAGAAACTGACTTACTGGAATACAACCTATCCAGACCTCACAACCTTCAGACACTAAGTCAGGATCTCCACAGCCTCTCCAGTATGGCCTCTGTGACAACATACATTTTTCATCAGCATACAGATTATATGTTACCCCAAACCTTTGGGGTATGACCTTTCCCAGGGGCTTCCTGTAGATGTTAAATAACAATGGGGAGAGAACTAAGCCTTGAGGTACTCTACAGTGGAGTAACTACAGGCACAACTGCTCATCTCCTATTACTACTACTTATGCTATCCGTTGAGTTAGGAATGGAATTACTGTAATACAGTGCCCCAAACTCCTTCGGGTAGTCTAGTAAGACACTAAATGGGACAGTGATGTGAAAAGTTGCTGAGAGGGCACATACGTACTCTCAAGATCATAAGCAACCAGTCCTGTTTCTGTCCACAACTGGGCCTGAATCCAGATTGGAAATTATTCAGACCATTTGCTTCATCTAGGAGCCTCTGTAACTGATTTCCCACTCCACAATACCTGCTTCAAAAAAGAAAGGTGAGATACTAGGTGAAAGTTGTCTAGTATGACTGAATCAAAAGACAGTTTCTTCAAAAAAAAAGTACTCCTTCACCTCTTTCAAAGCTATTAGCACTATATTGAAGAAGAATCCACCATCTATTGAATTCAACCACTCACCCACACCCAACAACAGCCCAAAGGAAACAGGAAGGCCATGAACTGATCTTCATGTGGCGGGGTCATTTTATGAAAATCCTACCTACTTCCTCACCCCCTACAAGGTCAATCAAATCTTAGATAATATCACACATCAGTTATCACACTCAGCTTCATCTGAGTGGCATCCAGCTCCAAGCAAATATGAAAAATTTTATCTGTGAAGAACTTAGCAAATATGTCATAGTGACCAGCAGGAGTATAGTCCTGACCATTACTTCCCAAGAGGGAATGAGTTAACCTGAACTGAGCTGCTGGATGTGAGTCTGTAGACACAATAAGCAGAGAAGGAAGAACACTTTGCCTCTCTTGCCACGATCTAAGCCTGAACTCAACTCATGCAATTGGTTAAATTCTTGTTTTTCCCAAGAGACCTCAGGAAGCCCTTCAGATACATCAGTCATTTGGGGTGGATCATCTAAATAATGAATCCTGACCCTTGCAGAGCTCAGGAATGGCATTAATATAGAACTTGACCAGAAAGTAATTTGAATATAGCAAGGAATGACAGTTTTCCCCCTTTTCAAATCATAAGCCATCTGCTGCAAGGTGAATACTAGTTTTAGCATACAGTATATCTATACATGTCAGAGCTGAGATAACCTAGTACATGCCTGTGTGTGCCATTAAGTCATGAGCACCTCTGGACCCTACCCAGTGGCATGGAGATTAAAGTCCTCCAGCACTATAGCCCAGGACACTCTACCACCAGCCACATAAAAAAATTCAGGAGCTTAGAAAGGGCCACTGCTGGGCAACAGGGCAGTTAGTACACCAACAGCAGCCCAGGGTCATCTAAAGAGGCTCACAGTTACCATGGAAATTTGCATCCTCCATGGTATGCACTCCAACCCATTGGTGGCCCCAAATCCACCACACACACACACACACACACACACACACACGGTTCCAGCAAAATGCTCCACAGACTGACTCAGCAGTGCAGAAGTATAGCTGTCTATTCTTCCTCCCAACACTCACATCTCTCACTTAAAAATCCCAGACAAATCTCCTACCCAAGGCCTGCTCTAATGTGGTCCCAATCCAGCTAAGGGGACTCTACCCATGAAACATTATTTTAACATTTTGGAAGATTGTGCTATAGTATTTAAATGACCAGCACATTCTAAAACTCTGAAATTGTATAATTATTTATAAGATTTATAAATTACCTCATTTCAGAGACTCTAGGTGGTAAGCACAGTACAAAAGCACAATAAAATTTTTTAAAAACCACTTTTCAATACAATATTTTAATATCAGATTATATACAAAGCTTTAAATTAGTTCAGTGCCTTCCAGCTGAAGAATGAAACATACTATTTTACATTGTGAAAAGAGCTACACTTAAAAGAAGGGATCAGCCTCAAAGAAGTGATTTTATTGAAAGGAAATTCAATCAAACTAAATTAGTGCTGATGCAACTTGACATATATGATTAGATCAGAGGCCTTCAAATTGCTTGGGAAAAGTCTGAAGTTGATTTGGAAGTTTGGTGGACTTTCTGTTGCTTCTGGCTTTGCAGAGCCTCATTATTTGCAATGTTTCTTCTACATATGGACACAGGGGAGGGAGGGGTATATTGGTATGAATAGCTGGTCAATTACTTCTACCACCACCACAAGTTCTGCCTATCAGAGCACTTGGGGAAGTATTGCATTGCTGTTTGTGCCTCACTTCCCAGCAGAATTTGCTTAACAAGATTCATTTGAAGGGATGAGGATTCAGATTTATCCTATTTTTTATAAATCAGTTTTGCTTTTTTGGTTGGTTTGTTTTTTTGTGTGTGTGTTTGGACGGTGTTAAATCTTTTACCTTTCTCCAAGTACATAACCTTTTATTCTTCTTTGACTCTGTATTTTTTGGCCCTTGGTATTATTTATATCCAATTCTGTCTATCTGCAGTTTTTCAGATCTTTCTGTCCCATCTCTCATTTTTTCCATTCCCTCACATATTTAAATCCTCTATTTTCTTCCCTGCCACTTCTTTGTCTGAGTCTTCTTTGTTGCATCTAATACACTTTGCATGCTCTTGGGCAATTATATACGTGACAGTGATAACATAAATTTATTTGTTTTTTCTTTAAAGAGTTCCTGTTTTATCCCTGCTACTCTATTTATATGATTTATCCTGTTCTGTCCCTGGTATTTTCATCCCATTCTGCCAAAATTAAATGGCTTCAGGCATGTTGATGCTTCTCTCTTGTTTTGTTTTTATTTATGCATTTTCTATAGCTGCCCATCTCAATCCAAGTGATTATAGTCTCAGATGGGTCTAAATTTAATTTTGTTGCCTTTGAACCCTGAATCTTACATTTGAATCTAATCCTGTCATCATCAAAGTTAAAAACTGAATTGAAACTTGGCTGCTTTGCAAATCCCTACTGGTTTCTCCTGTCACTATAATAATGACATGAGAAAATTGAATGTGGTAGGATTTTCTCATTTGTGCAGTTCTTAAACCAGGGAAACTATTGAAAACTATATATTTTATAGGGAGCAGGGGGGAGAGAGCCAAACGTTCTGACTCAGTCAAAACACCACTTTATATCAATTAATACTTACAGCATAACTGACCTCTGAAAACATTCTGCAATAATTCAAATGTACACTTTTCTTAAGCTTAATACAGCACATTTACTTTTTGCAGACTCCTGCCTTTATATCTATGATTTAATTTTTGCCTAGAAATGTACAGAATACTGGCCAGAAGAACAGATTACCTATGAAGGAATTGAAATTACAGTTAACAGAGTCATACAAGCAGATGATTACCGGTTAAGGCTTATTACCCTAAAGGTAAGACATAACAAGGGTTACTCATAGACAACTAAATAAAATTTTTAGTAATATTCTTTTCATTATCATGTTGATTATGTTCTTAATAATTTCCATTCAGGTACGCAGTACATTGTTCTAGCTGTGCAGCTTGGGATCCAAAGGTTATAGACCCAACATATTTGCAAAGCTCCAGGTTGAAGAAGGATTTAATAATGTTGATAGGCATCTTAGAAAGAGTACGTGTAATATGGAGGCTATCAAGCTCTTTGTAGAACAGTTATAATTATGAGTCATTCCACCCAACCGCCTACTGGTAATTTATTACAACATGCTTTCTCAATAGGCATTTCTGATCTGCTTTTGTTAGCTATTAAAAGTTTTCCTAAACGTCCCTACTTTATAACAACCTTAGTTGTTACATCATTATTTTTAACAGATTCCTATATTTGAGCTGGTTAGACATTATATATCAGCTCTGTAAGATCTTTGGTTGACTGGTATTGGTACTGTTGAACCTATGTAGGGACCACAGTATGGAGGTACCTGGACTCTGCAATGATCTCATAGATTGCCAGAAAACTTTCCATAGAAACTTTGTTTTCTGCAAATACATTCATAAAAGTTTCAGTGCTAGTTCACTTAGACAGCAATACTTATTTCATCCTCAATAGATCAATCCTTCCAAAGAGAGAGAGAAATATTTATAATTCACGCCTTTCTCTAAAACTGTTTCTGTAAAGTGAGTTGAGTGCAGAAACAAAAAAATTAAGTTACAGAATCATCTTCTACTATTTTAGCAGCCTTTTCTATTGCCTAGAGAAATAGAACATTTCAATGCTTACACATTCTAAGAACTTAATGTAATTTATCAACTAAATATATATTTTTAATCATGTATGTTTCTCAGCCCCCCCCCCCCAACACAAAACAAAACTGGAATAGTTTATTAGAATACTTTTAGGACAGAGGCAAACAGAAGGCTCTAAACAACATTTAGAAAAAAAGCTATTCCATTTTAGAAACCTTAAGATAGAGCTTTAATTCATAACTTTAATTCTAACAGCCCATTCAGCTCTGTACAATCCATTGTACAATCTTTGTTTCTTTCTACTGTCTGCTGAGCTTTTTATCAGACAGCGTTCTTAAAATGAATACCTTTTGTTTGATAAGAAAATGAAAAGCAGTGATCTTAAACTGCAAAAAAGAATATTAATTATTGTATGTGTTCCCTAACTAATATAGATCATGCTTGAATTCTGTTACCTCCTGCACTGTCAACTAGGGCTACAAAATCAAATCAGAATCACTTCTGTTGTATGTTCCACCAAAAATATGAATTGTTGTCTAATTGTACACATAGATTGTATGTTATCAAGCCAGCAAAAAAGGTCCTTTCCAGCAGAATTGTTGGCAGAATTATGTTTTAAAAGGTAAGAACTAGCCCAATTGAAAATACTGGTCCATGCCTTTAAATATTTTAAATGGCTTGGTCATGAGGGAAAGCTTCTCCCTGTGAATCCCTCCAGCTAGACGGTCTTCCCCAGGGAAAAGGTGGTCTCTTTGTGGCCCCAATGAGTACACACTTCTTCCTGGGGAATTTTGTATCACTCTTCGTTGACTTTCCTTAATGTCCATTTTTGAACTTTCTACTAAGTATAATCTTAGTGCCAATGGAAATACTTATGTCTGTGGAACCCTATATAAGGTACTCTAAAACTTTAAAATATTCTTTATTACATAAGCAACATAGTCTGCCACCATTATGTGATTTCTAGGTTTTTGGTATGGGTAGTTCAGGTTTTGTTTGTTTTGCATTCAGATTTCACACTATGCATTTTTGCGACTCAATTCCTATACTGCAAAATTCCTTTTAAAAATGATTCAATCATTCTTGGTGCTTTAAGGTGAAAACCAGTTTGCTGTGTAAATATGAATGCTATGTATGGCTTTCTTCAGATGCTTCCATAAGTGGTACCTTTGAAGGTAATTGTTCAGCATGGTGTTAATTTTCCAAGCAATAACTACAGAGTTGAAGCAGACATTCCAGTGGCCTGCAGCTTCAACCAGGCACATGATTAGAGGACCATAAAGTGAAGCACCCACAATTAATAAGTGTGCCTGCAAACTGAAGAGCGCATTTGTTGATTCAGGAGGATTATTTTTTAAAAAATGTAAACCTTATGCTTTCTGCAATGCTCATGTGGTTTACGCAAATAGAAATAGCTATCAGTCTATCAGGATACAATTTCTGTCAGTCTACATGGACAATATAATTAAGCATGCAGCAGCTGTGACAATGTAGTATTGTCAACTGTGATTTGCTTTGGTATTACTTTAGTATTATTAGTCAGTCCAGGGAACCATCTCAGGACAACAACAGAAGGAGTGCTACTGTGCCAGAATGTTTATTGTTTTTTATCTGCCATATTCATGAAATGTATTGCAGCAATTTGCAAATATCTATACTGGACAGAATGAAGAGGCCAACATAGCAAAAGAGTGGTTAAATATTTGACGTACCAGTTCATTTCAGTTTCCAAAGATCTATTGAAATAGATACCTAACCCATCAAAATAAAGGTCAACGAAGAGTGATACAAAATTCCCCAGGAAGAAGTGTGTACTCATTGGGGTCACAAAGAGACCACCTTTTCTCTGGGGAAGACAGTCTAGCTGGAGGGATTCACAGGGGAGAAGCTTTCCCAAGGTAATCATGACCAAGCCATTTAAAATATTTAAACGCATGGACCAGTATTTTCAATTGGGCTAGTTCTTACCTTTTAAAAACCTAAAGGAATGCAACTTAGTGTAATTTCATGTCACAGAATTAAGTGAAGAGGGACAGTAGGAGAAGAGCAGCGGAGGAATAGGTGGCTCAGCTGTGCCATTTTAGAACATAAGGCACATCCCAGTGCCCATGTTTTTGTAACCAATTCCTTTAGTGTTATCAGTGCAATCTGAATTTACAGACAAAGCTACATTGCAGTGTAAATTATCCCCACTTGCCAGTTGTACGATGTCACAGGAGCCAATTTAATTAAAATGTGTATCAGTGTTCTATTGCTGCTACAGCTGCTGTTGCTCTTGATTTATTCTAGTTATCAGTATATTAATAAAAAAGCCAAAGTAGCCCCAGTTTAAAGGGACTGCTAACATGCTAGATAAGGATAATAAGCTATGGGGATGGAGACTCCTGAACAAGAGACAACCGATAGCTAGTATCTAGCTAATGATCTCTCTTGGCTTTGTTCCCCTGCTAGCTTCCTGTACAGAATCTTCGATATTCAAGCCAGAATTTCCTCACCCAAATAATCTAACGTACTGAGTCATTCAACAGAAACCTGCAGTTAATTTTTGCCTAAAATTTGGAGTGCAGCTCAGGGTGCCATATTTTCAGGAGTCTTTGAACGAATGCTAGTTGATTGCATATCCAACGGAAAGTTTTTAAAAGTCTGAGTCATTAGAAATGTTTACCTTTGGAAATTCTGGGCTGCCTCTTGAGATTCCTCTAATGAGAGATGTTCTTCATATCTGAAAAGAAATTCATGTGGTTGCCTCTAATTCTTTTGCCTCCAATTTTTTTGCTCACTGTCTTACAGAATGGTGAAGAAATAAGAAACCTGAAGCACTACTGGTATACATCTTGGCCAGACCAGAAAACCCCTGATCAAGCACCGCCCCTGCTACAACTGGTTCAAGAAGTAGAAGAAGCCATGCATTGTGCAGAAGACAAGAATGCTCCAATCATTGTCCATTGCAGGTAGATTATTAAGCGTCATTAAAAAGAAAGCAATGAGAGAAAAAAATGATACTTAGGTAGTTTTCATATGCCACTGACATTCATTTGAAGCAGCCTTTGCTTATAATGCTATACAATACTGAGCTTTACTTTCCCTTTTTCTTTGATATTTTGGATGAACCTTTTCTGTGTGTCCACTCCTAATATTCTAGCAAGGTAGCATCCCCTACATCTAATCTGGTAGAGCCCAGAGGAACCAACATTTCCATGTTAGGTTGGATTGTAAATGGGATATGATCTGACTCTCCGAGTGCCTGTTAGGCAGGGCTGATGGAGTGTGAACCATGCAGCCATTTCATGTTTTAATCACAGGCTTATTTTGTATTTTTACTGAGCAGTCCTGGACCTGGTTCACAAAATGAAGTTGTGGTCATTCCCCATCACTCACCTATCTTCCCCTACTTAGTTTGTCCATTATAATGTGCTGCAGATACTAAAGAACTATGTGCACGAAAAATAATGAGCAGAGATCAGCAAAAAAAAAAAAAGTCTCAATCATCAATTATAAATGCAAATCAAATATTAAAGCATCCCCACATAAAGAGCTCTGTCTCACAATAACTGCTTGGGGATGATAGCCATCCCCAACTAAAAGCAAGTTCACCTTTCCTTCGAGACAATGTCATCCAGGAGTAATTTCAAATTACTTTTTGGAACTTCCTGGAAGACAGGGAGCATGGTAGTCAGTCAGTGAGAAGCTATCCCTCTTGTCATCAAGCAAAGGTCATGAGCAATGCACACCCAGATGTGCTGCTTTCTGAGAAGACCCTGCTCTTTGGAGGAGCTGTTTATGATGCTCCATGACATATTGCTAGTACTGAGTGTGCCAAGGAAGCCCCTGATGATAAATGCAATAAGCAGATTTCATTGAAATCTTTACAGGACTCATGAGCTCATACTGGTTAACTCAACTATTAGCAAAATATTGAACAGAACTACGTATATAATTTGAGGCATAACCATTGCAAATAAGTTTCTGATTTATTTATTTTTCATATAGTTTGACTTCGGTAAGCAGAAAAGAACATTTACGTTTTAAAGCTTTTAGTAAGATTACAAAATGAATTCTTGTATAATGAATATTCATGTTATTATGCAAGATTGCTGTAAATATCCCTTGTACAAGCAGATTATGGATGATGGGAGAAAGGTATAATGAGTCTCTGCAGCATTTTTCATAAACATAAACCATGTGAGAACATAATGTGCTATCACAGTGTCTGAAGCAGGGATCCTACTTTTGTATATGTCCATAACAGCCTAGACAACACTAATTCATATTTTCTTACATATTTTTAGCCATTTCATTCATATTTAAACCTACACCTTCCTTTCCCTGCATGAATTCATCAACTGTACCCCATAAAATCAGATCACCTTCATTCAGGTCTATTACTTTCTTTGCCTTTCTCTTAGATTCATAGATATACAGTGTATCAATTTTCTTTACTGTTTCATTTGTTCATTTATGCTTTATGCTATTTCATTTATAATTTATTTTACCATTTACTCTCCCCACACCCAAACCACAGTTTTCCATAAGCCATGATTATTATCAAATGGGGACATGGTCAATCAAGGCTTTCATATAAGGCTTTTTAGTAATATAGAAAAAATATACACTACATTACTTTCACTTCACTTACACCTTGAATTGCTCCCACTGGGAGCAAGTGTAGCTTGCAAAGCAGTGGTACTACATAGTCATACCATGGTTTGCTCCAAACTGCATACACTGCCGCATTCTGGACCAGCTGCAGCCTTTGAAAGCTCTTCATGGGCATCCTATGTAGAACAAATCAACTGGGAGGTGACTAAGGCATGAATTGAGCAGAGCCTCCCAATCCAGGAATGGGTGCACAAAATGGATTTGTACAAAGGCCCTCCTGGCCACAGCTGCCACCTGTTCTTTGACCATGAGCCATGAGCCCAAGAGGAATACCACCACCCTGCCAGATTGTGTACCATCTGTGTCTAGGGGAGTGCTATCCCATCCAGGTCAAAAAGCCTCCAGGACTGGGAGGCTCTAAAACCCACAGCCACTTGGTCTTGCTAAGGTTGAGTCAAAGCCTGTTCTTCCTCATCCAGACCCTCACAGCCTCCAGGTATTGGGAAAGAATCTGAACAGCATCATGTGGACAGCCCAGGACAGAGAAGTACAGCTGAGTATCATCAGTGTACTGATGGTACTTTAACCCCATGTTGATGAATGTCCTCACCAGATGTTCAATAGGAGTGGGGAGAGAGTCATGCCCTCACAATGTCAGAGTTTAGGGGTGGACCTCTCCCCTCCCTAACACTGGCTGGAACCAGTCTCAGAAGAAGAAAAAGAACTACTGCAAGACCATGTTTCCTGCTCCCAGCCCCCTAAACCAGCCCAGAAGAATACTATAATCTGGGTGGAACTCCAACTGAAATAGGAAATATTAATATGGAATTCAATGCAATACAAATCTTTTAATGAGAGCAATATATATTTCTGAAGTTGTATGATGGGTATGTATATGCATATTACTGAGGGAAAAAAAACCAATCAAACCTAACATCTGTAGATCTGGGTGGAATGACAACATAAATTGCATTTCTTCTTCCTGGGGGCATAGCTGCTGGCCCAAATTATTTAAGTGACAATGAATGGAAGGTCATGTAAGAAGCTTTCAGCAGAGCTAAAGACTTGCAAAATAGGAGTATCTCTTGGACCATGAAGTAATTGTTAGCTGCTTCCTCTGTTATTTAAAATGACATGTTGACATATAAAATCTGACAGAAACCAGATTCCTCACATAACATCTCTCTGGCATTGTACCCATTTTATCCAATAAAAATGCTAACCTTTTACTAAAATAATTCTGGGCCAATGGTAGAAGCGTTTTATTTTATTCTGTTGCTTTTTTGTCCCATAAATTAGAACCAGATAAGAAAACATAAGCTCATTAAAGTGTCTTTTCACATTCCTGATTCACATTCAGTCTATGGGTTGGAGAGCACTTCTATCCAGCTTCCCAAATATTCCAGAATAACAGCCCCCCACCATACACCTATCTTACTCAGTAGTTTATGGCCAAAGAAAAATATGAGAGAAGTCAGAAGACCACCACATTTGTACACATGGAGAAGAAACCACTTTGCGTAAGCAAAGAGTTTCAATCTAGTAAAGATTTCTGTTCCTATACTCAACCAGTACTGTCTGAAATAAAAATAATCATTTCCTAAAATTTGAGAATACATGGCAGGGCTAAAGAGCCATAAGTTCATTTTTCTGCTTTGATTCTTTGATTTTTGAACCCATTCATGGTGCTATAACCCCCTGTGGTCTTGTTTAAGAAGCTCATGAACTCAGTCCCAGGCGGAAAAGACACAAACAAGGTTTTCTAAACAACGCCCTATCTTTTGGAAGATCTTTGTCATCACTTTCTATTACTTTCTCCGGCCAGTGCAGGGATTGGGAGAACAGGCTGCTTTATTGCTACCAGCATTTGCTGCAAACAGTGGAAAAATGAAGGTGTGGTTGATATACTTAGAACAACATGCCAACTACGACTAGACAGGTAAGATAATTTTTCTGCTAAAACCAAGTCTAGTGTAGCCTTCCCCTAACTGATGCCTCCCAGATGTCTTGGCCAGGTTGGTTGGGAATAATGGGAATTATAATCCAGCATATTTTGAGGCATCAGATTGTGGAAAGGTGCATTCTTAATCCAGCACTCAATAACATTTATTTCTTCATAATATGTAAACAGATATTGGTTTCAGAATAAAGTTGTGAATGTACAAATCATTTGCATGGGAAAAGTTAGTGACTTGTTTGCAAAACATAGTTTTAAGAAAGTGTTGATTCTTGAATTTTGAAACTTTTCTGAATAGCACTGGTTTTATTCCACTTAATTTTATTCCTTTTATTTCTCTTTTGTATTGTTTAAGAACACAGAGAATTAAAATGGACTTTTAATTAATCTTAGAATGAATTACTTAGGCTTTTTCCATTTATGAGTTCAGTCAACATTATTTCCAGAACAATTAGTTGCCAACTTAAAGCTTAATCTTCTGTGTTAGTTAACTCGGTGGTACTTTCTGCAAAGTAAACCTGGCCTGTGTTAGACAAATAACATATTAAATAGACAAAACAAATTTGGCTCTATGTATGTAAAGAAAATGAATATATTTTAAATTTGTTTATCTATACCAAAGATCTGCAACTCCATTTGGAGGGTGGGGATTGACATTATAGCCAGAATGTCACTTAAAGAATGTAATCTGCTGGATTCTTCCCAAGTAAATCAGAAGCAGAAACAACAGCTGCAGAGTACTACAAGAGCAGACGAGATGGGAAGAACAGATCTAATTGCAATGCCACTCTCAAGGGATTTGGATCTTCCAGGGGCCCACAGAACATCATCACAGTCTGCCATTTGTTTATTCATTACACCTATGTAGGAATACTTCTATCAACACCTGTGAGCCTTTAAACATATTTAGTAGGGAGTCAGGAACATTGAATATACTGGGAATACATCTACAGTAAGTCATAGTAGATATGCATGGGCGTTCCCAAACTCTGGAAAGTTCAGCATTGAGACTTCATATTTATGACCCCAGAAACACTTTTTTGCAGCCCCAAGAATCCCATCTAATAACATGACTATGTTTTTGCTGTTTGGTTATTTTAAAAGACAGTGTGTTTTCCTTTCATTTAGAGGGGGGAAAGTCATAATACTTGATTTTTTGAGAGCAAGGCCAGATATAAACTTAATCTCTGAATACTTTTCTTGGCTTCCTTCAACTATAAGAGCTTCACCCTTCCTGATTTCATTTAGAAAAACGCTTGAAAGCAAGTTCTTCTGAAGAGCATTTATAAACTGAGATTATGCAGCTGTGTGTATTGTATTCTGTCATTGATGGTGATTGAATTTTCTTATGTTTATTGCCTCCTCCTCCTTCCCTGTACTTACATGGATGTTTTAAATGCTATTAGACTACATTAATTGCTGAAAGTCATGATTAAATTGTGACAGTATACAAATGGAATAATGTAGTAAATAAAGTACATAATGCCAGTAGCAGTGTCCACAACAAACCACAGAGATGTCCAAATGACAACATGTATGTAATCACATTATCACATAAATGCTACCATTATGTACTTGTATTCCAACATCTGGCCCAAGTACCTAAGACATAGCATTTGTGTGATAATATTGTCACACACACGTTTTTTTCCCCCTTGGATACTTGAGCTAGCTTGCAGCTCCCTCCTCGGTTCTGCCCTCCAGCTAACACATAAGAGGCTCCAATAACTTCACAATAAAATTCTTTATAGCACATGACAAGAAACTAATTTCTATATAGCTGCATGCTACACTTTCTGAACTCAAGCCTGCTCTTGGTGAGGGGAATTCTAGTGCTATAATGTCCTCGATCTCACTTCTTAAACTGAGGAAAGAGTGTTCATTTTGTTTTATATTAGTTGTTTCTAATTGCTAGTACTTACCATCCATATGGGTGTCTAAAGAATTTCAAGTATATTTCCTGAAAAAGCTCAGTGCAAAGTTTAGAAATGCTATTTCAGTGCTTCCCACTCAGGCCTGAACTAGAAGATGGTTACTATTTCATCCACCTTGATATGCAAATAAGGATACATCTCCCTACCCTCAAGCAGAGTGAAGCGACTGCTTCAGGTGGCAGGAGCAAGAGGTGGGTAGCTGAGACTAGCGGCAGCCTTGTCAGATCTTTAGCCATTCCTTCTAAACCCCAAGCATCCCCCATCTTGGAGGGAGAGCTTAGCCTGCTCACTAAACTACTGTGCTGCTTTCAGGTATGGAGGAGGATTCTAATGCATTCCCAGTGTTGAAATAAAATTAAATTACTGGTGTCTGTTCACGGAAAGGAAGAAGCACTCCAATATCCTTTGCCTCTGGCAGCAGAATAACTTGAGTCATCCCTGACACAATGAGAAGCTTACCTCCAAGAGAGTTCCTTATATTTACAGGAATTTGAAAGGTCAGCTCCTCCTTACAATAGTCATCAAAAACTGGTCTATACATAGGTAATAATTGTATAGCATAGTTCTGTTATAACCCCACCATAGCCTAAGGGTAGAAAACCCTGTATTTGAATGCTTGCTCAAGAAATAGTAACCTTCTGGACATAGAAAGCCTAGCACATATGGAAAAAGACTTTAGTTGGAATATATATGTACCTGGTAGCTTAATTTAAGGATAGGGAGCTGAAAACAAAACTCGCTCCCTCCCACATTTTTGCAGATTGAAATGATTATTTTATAATGGGCTTTATAATGGTTATTCTGAATAAAATTCTAAATGATTTAAGAGCTGTAGTTCAATTTTACTTTTGTCCATTCTTTTTGGTTATAACTATTCTCAAGTGCAGCATTAAACATTTTCCAAACAGCTCTATAACCTAACATCTTATTTCTACTGTTTTGAGCTGTTCAAAATTCATTAGCCATCCAACTATACCGAACAAACAGACTGAAATCACTTTCCTTCTGAATGCCTTTTTATGAGAAGCCAGTAGGGCTAGCTCTAAAACGTGCCTGCTCCCTAAGTGGATTCTAAATGTGACCTTTTATATTTGGTCTTATTTCCATTAGTTCTCTATATGTTTTCTAGAAATAAAACCAGAAATATCAACTTGCAAATCTTCTTTTTAAAATTCTTCCTTGCTTTTCTTTCCAGGGGAGGAATGATCCAGACTTGTGAACAGTATCAGTTTGTCCACCATGTCATGAGTTTGTATGAAAAACAAATCACTAGAGCAGCAGCAGAAGAATGAGGATTCAGGATCATTCATTATGACAAAGACCAACAGAACTCTGATCAGAATCACATGTATTCCAGAGCTGAGAAGATTAGGAATTTCAGAGTAGAAGATATTTATTTATACATATAAAAATATATATAGTTTTACTTTCATATTGCTTTATTTTGCATTCAAAAACTAAGATACTGCTTTTCTTCAATATGTGACAGGGTGTTATCTTCACTTTAAAAATAAAAAAGGCCTGTTTATACTGTAAATAAAATCAGTAGCTTCATTTGTTCCAAAAATTTAAAACATCATTGTCAGTTTTGCTACTTAAAAAGAAAAAAACCTTGCTACTAGATCCAAATACAATGTGAAACTCTTTGATAGATGTCTTGCTGAAGTCTGTAATGTATGTTTACTAAGCTTGAAAACTAACTTTTCTGCCTTTTTTCTGAATGATTGTTTTTACATTTTAAACTACCGGATACTGTGTATATCATAAAATCTTCTGGGCCTCTGCATTAAAGGATTCAAGTGAATTCATACTGAAAAACATGTTTTGTGCCTTGTGCATTTCCTTGTTGAAAATATTCAGTCCTACAAAGTGTAGTGACTGTAGTGTCGGTGTAAAACAAAAACACAAAGTGAAGATAGCCATCTTGGCTAGAAAGAAAAAAATCCATAGAAGGCCAATTCTTTCTTAGGTTAACTGAAAAGCAGAAAATAAAGTGCAAGTATTTGAAAAGCAGCTAAAAAACTCAAGCCACATGGTTTACATATAGTTAAAGCTTTAAAATGGCATATAATATCTATTAGCTGCTAAGATTTGCTGTTGGAATAAAGAAATGAGCAAACAGTTACTGGAAAATATGGAATCTATTTGTAATTTTTCCTTTTGGTATAGCATTCTTTGATGTTTTAGAAGGGGAAATTATTTTGGGGTTTTCTGTTGCAGAGACTTAGTGGGTAGAATTTACTTCATGGTCCCTGGATCAGTTCCAAGAATAAAATTATAATTCTAGTTGTTGTATTGTCAGTCTGGAGGAGTTTGTTATGTAGTGATATATTTATGATAATGCTTCTTCACTTTCCTAACTCACAGTTTAATCCTACTTTACCAAGCCATGATTCAGTTCAAAGCAAGGATATAGAATTCCTCTTTGAGGCAGTACAAAAGTACAGTAAAGTAATTTAAAAAGTGCTAGTAAGTAAAATTGTAAAAGAGAGTAACAAGCTCTTACATGTAATGCCTCTGTCTGAATCTCCACAAATTATATATTCCTGAAGTTAGCTGGGCCTCTTCCTCATCAACAAAATCCCTTCATTAAAGGCTGCTGAGTAGACTTGGAAATCATAGAGTAAGAAAATGTGTGTGTGCATGTATGCAATCTCCATCTATGAACTTGAAGGAAAAGCAATTACAATCACAACGTATGTGTCCTAAAAAAGATTTATTCTATGAGGAGTCATCATGCTGGTCTGAGTCAAAGTTTTATTCTTATCCCTGACTGAATTCCAGTGGATCTATATCAATTAAAGAACAGGAAGCAAAAAGTAGAAGAAATGTCACTTCTTGCAATGGAGGGATGTGATACAAAATATTTGGTGTAAAAATAAACACAGTAAAAAGGTTTAAGAAGTCACTCGGTATGACAAATTTGGTTCAATGTAAATAAATATAAAGGGCTGTACATTGAGGCAAGTAATTCTCATTTCATATATTAATATATATTATATATTACTATAACATTTTGTGTGTGTATGTGTGTGTATTTGTTAATGGGGTTTCAGTTGATAGTGCCTGGCCAACAAAGGGATTTTAGAATCTGGATTGGTCAATCATCCCAATGTGAAGCTGCTGTGAAAAGGGGGTTTTATATATTGGAGATCCTCAAGAAAGCAATTGAAGAGGCTTTTGTTCAAGCCTACAGTACAGCCTCGGGTAAAATAAAAGGCACAGTTCTGCTCACTGCCCTTTAGAAAGGATATTGAAAGGTATAAATCTGTACATAGAAAAATGAGCTCATCATCTCTTCTATATGTTGTGCTGTTTTCCTGTTCTTTGCCCAGAATCTTCGTGGACCATAGTTTTCTTTAAGAGCAATGGACCTACTTGAGAAAAGGGGGGAAGGAGTATTGCTTCTTTTGAGAGTGAATGCTGTGTGAGAGGGAGGGAGCATGCCCGTCCTATCTTTTAATAGGAGTACATCTCAGAACTTGGGGGGAGGCAAGTCCTGTTGCAACATATGCCTTGTATAAAAGATGTCTCCTCTGGGAAGTTGTAATGCTTGTCTGAGTCAAAGTTTTTTTATTATGTTTGAATTAAGTTCAAGTCCCAGTGGCAACTCCAAGACTTCTCCATTCCTCTTATAAGGTAACATCTTTCTGTGGTAAGCCATCCCCAGGGATCTGACACAGAGAAGGCTCAGGAGTTCTTTCTATGTTGCATAGTGATCTAGGCTTCCTGCTAAAATCAGCGTGAGGAAAATATGCTCTAGGAGCTAAAAAAAGAAGCATAAAGGATATGCAGTAAATATCCACTGAGCAAAGGCAGAAGTAGTAATTTGATTTCTTCATATTAAAAAAGATAGAGAACATCTGAGGTTCCAACTCCAAATATGAGTGGAGCATCCAAAAATGCTTAGGTTCATCTCTGAAACAGCGAGAGTTGAAGTGCTATCCACTAGTCCTTGAGCTGGCAGAAAATTTTACTGCAACAGAATTGATCTCCCCCATTGGTGTTCTCTCTCCTGGTATAGGCATGATGCTGGCAAATTGTTCTGTCCTTACTGTTTGCAGGGCACATAAGGAACTAAATTGGTGGATTCTCCCAGCTTTGCTTTTCTCCCTCCACACCAAACATCAGTTGAAGTGTTAAACCCGTGTTTAAAAGCAGCCCCCCAAAAGCTGACAGGTGTTGCATCGAAAAGCAGTTTCACTGTGCAGCCACCTTCACCACCACAGGTCAGCTGCTGTTCAGGCTAATCCAGGCCTCTGATTTTCTAGCTATCCAAGGAAAAAGGGTCCTAGAAGACAATGCCAAGAGACCAGATGAGAGTGGCTGTGCCAGCTTAAAGTAGTCTATATGTGCTGGGCTGCTCCCATCCCCTTAGAGATCATCTGATTGTCAGTGAAGCAGATCATCTTGCAAGCCTGGCGAAACTATTATGGCTTGATGCCTCTGTAAAGTGAAAATACCCTACTTTAGGGCTCCTCAGCTATGGGTAACACATGAGATGAAGGTCACATCAAGAGTACATGACAGAAAATACATTGGTAGGGCATGTTTGTGCTGTGGTAAAATGCAAGAACCACAATGAATGTGTATGGATGCCATCATAAGATAGAATTCAAAAGAATTCTGGATTATTGTAAAGGAGCAACACACTGATACACAATGCCCTATTGATAAGACACTCAGTAAATAAAGAAGCTGTATCTTGCAAGGGAACTTTATGTAACAATTAGACCCAAGATGTTCATTGTCAAAACTCGGTCTTCTGAAAGTTCCTAAAAGAACACTTGCTATTAATATACTACTCTCTTGTTTTCAAGAGAATTGATGGATCGGGGTTGCTTTGCTTCAGAAGAATAACTGAAATATATTTTCAGTTGCCTCAAAAATGAAACAAGAATAATGGAGAGTTTGCTCAGATAAAGTCTTGAGAAGTACTATTCCTTGTTGATTCAGCAAGATATCAATCAGTCAATAAATGCATGCATGCATGCTACATGAGATCTCACAGGAAATTTTGCAAAATATTTAATGAGATTTTTTCTTGGAGGAGTTTGAGACTACACTGGGAGATACTCAGGTGCAAAAATATTTTATATGGATGATTTTTGCCCTGTAACTGTAACATGCAAGTATGAACAAGTCAGATCAGAAAGACCCTACTTTACTTCCAACTTCTGATGTTCTTCTATCTCAATTGTCCCTTTGGATAATACAGTCACAGGGAAGGAACTGATAAAATGTGACACGTCTGCAAGTAATGCTGTAATGTTTACAGGAAGAAATCTGGAAGCAACCATTATGGGACATGTTATACAATAAAGGTGGGGGCACGTGACATTTCTTTGTGTTAATTGGCATCTGAGTCCTCTAATTTTAGATTTAGATTCTGATTTAGAACAATTGGTAAGAAAGATCTTCACCTTCTCATCTTCCAGCAAATAGATGCCTGGTCCCAGGCATTCCCATAATAGCAACCATTTTGTGAGATGTCTTAAAAATTAAGGCGGGTCTCATAGCCCAAAGCAATTGCCTACCCAGCTTTAAAGGAGTTTAGAGATGATAAATGACTATTAAAAGAGCATACCACACACAAAGGCACACGTGGGCAAGCACTGATGTACAAAGATATCCTGAGGAAACTGCTACCTTTATGCTTAGAAACATTTCTTAACACTGATGCGTTGAGCCAGTGAAGTCTCTATCACCCTTTTGGAAGAATCACTGAATTAGTCAGGGCTTGACTCTAACACTTCTGGCCCTGAAGATGATAGTGGTCAAAACCAGCTGAACTGAAATGTAGTGCTTACAGTTTTCCTGCACAAGGGTAAAAGTTAAAATCAAGCAACTTTGAAAGGGAGAATTACTGAATAGGAATAGGGAAACGATCATAGATTAAACAAGTGAGACTGATTTAAAAGCAGTTAAGTTGCACAGACCTTATAGCGACACTTTGCTTTATACGTGCACAGGTAATATGGCGATTACATAATTGTCACAGTGTTTAACCCCTTTACATTCACACATAGATAAATGATATACTGTATCTTAACCTCATGAACTTTTCTGATACATTCCTCCAGCTTTTCCACGCATCTTGCACTTCAGCCTCTCTTGAAATATTTTTCTATGTTGGTGAATGTTGTAAACATGAGAGAAAGAAAGGGGAGTCATTTTCAAATACTTTATTCTCACATGTGTGATTTTGCATGACTGATGTTTCACTTTACCATCTTGGGGAAACTAAAGAAAGCACTAAGCTAAACTCACACCTATGCACACATATATATTTAAACATTAAGACTTGCTCTCTGAGAACGTGTTGCATTTAACTTTTAATTACTGTTGTGTCCTTGAGTTGTGCCTCTGTAACACTGTCTCTAAATAAGTAAAACTGTTGAAGCTGCAGAAATGCATGTAACCACATAGCCCACAAGGGGCCAGTGTCTATTTAAAGTTTCAGTTACGCAGAGCCATTTTTGAGATATGCTGAGGGACCCAGCTCTCTCCCAGGCTGTGCAGAGGCACTGTAGCCAGCTCACATCTGCTACAGAACTCAGAAGAGCTCACTGATGCTCCAGAAACATCTCTCTCAAAACAGTGGCCATCGGTGGTCTTTTCAGTCAGAAAAAGGAAAGGTACTGTATGTGCATTATTTTGTTTGCCTGCTGCACTCAGAATGTCATACAAATGCTTCTGTTCTCATTGCTTTCAGATGTGTTTTTTTCTTTCTTTCCTTTGAATATACACCCCAATTTGATGTATTCTTACCAATGGGTCACACTGTATTAAGGTAAATGGAATTTCAAATAGACATTATTGCTATACTGTTACTATAAAAGGGAACTGGTTAGTTTGGAGATGGGTAGGTTGCTCCCTCCCTGTTTCTCTGCATTAGGAAAGAATACACAGTAAGTAACGAAATTGATGATGTTCTTC